CCTTCGAGCAATGAGGACAAAGATCTCAGGCAAAGCAAAGAAAAATGAGCCCGAGAGAGACTTGTGTCTCACAGCCCAGCCACAAATGGTGGCAGAGGTGGATGCTGACGGAATTGGAAGCCAATCTCTTCTGGAAACTTGGCGGTGGGGGGTTGGGAGGCCAGGGTGAGAAGAACCCTGCAGCCTGAACCGGCTGTTGGAAAAATCTCTCCTCTGTGCTTGGGACTTTCTTGAGGAATTCGGGGATGACCAGTCTGGTGGGGAGAGAGACACATATGTCACTAAGCTGCTGCCACAGAGTGAGATACAGTGTTGGTGCAAGTAAGGGCAAGACGAGAAGGGAGCATGGGTCAGAGATGTATCTAAGGTGAGTTTTGAAGGGCATGTAGGAGTTTTCAAGCCAAACAAGAAGGAGCAAGGGGCCTGGGACGTAGCACGGATGACAGACTCTATTGACATCAGAGGCCAACAAGCTGACAGAGAGAAGGAGCATGAGACACGGGAAGTGGAGGGGGCAGAGAGAACCAGAGGGCGCACGCTCCACCTGAAAGCATCTAGATCCAATACTGTAAGAAAAAAAAAAAACCCACTCAGCCAAGCAGGGCATCCTGGGGACTCAGCCTGGGGCTCAATGAGGGTCGGCTCCGATGAAAGTAGTAGAAACAAGAAAGAGGCACGCCGAGGAGGGTGAAAAGAAGCTGCCACACCAAGGAGGGAGGGAGGGCAGACACAAGCACAGGAAGGCCAATCCTTAAAATTTGGTGTGGCATTGCCAAGGGGTTTGGACTATCTTGAAAGCAATGGGGAGTCAGTGAAGATATTTTTCAATAGGTGAATTAAAGGAAGAGATTTGTGTTGTGGAAGGAGCCTTGTGGCAGCAAAGCCTTATGTCAAGACAGAAGTAGGTCCAGCTCCAAGAGATGTCAGGAGACAGGAGCAACAGAACTGGGTGGCCAATGGAACAGGAGAGAGTGAGGGTCCCCTCCATGCTTGTGGAAGACCCTGCCCAGAGGAGGCTCATCAGAAACAAAATGATGCGGTAGTGAGAACCCAAGTCTTGCTGTGTTGGTCAAATCTCAGGTCCATCTCTTAGCAGCTGTGTGATCCCAGGCATTTGGCTTAACCTCTGTGGGCCTCTAATTTCCGGAATATAGAATGAGAATCACCAAGCATAGCTGGCAAGATGTTATGACTAAGTGGCAGCACAAAAGAATGGTTAGGAGTGTGGTTTCCAGAGTCAAAGGAAGGGTTCAAAGCCCAGCCCTACTCCCAGCCAGTCGTGTGACCCTGGGAAAGCTGCTAATCATGCTGTGCTTCAGTAAGTGAAGATAATAGTAGTACCTACTTCACAGGGCTCGTGCGAGGATGAAATGAGATCCCACATGCAGACAGTCTGATGCACAGTGAGAGCTCAGTAGATATGAATTCTATTACTGGACACTGCAGCTGATATCATAGTGACAGCAAAACACAACCAGCTGTCACCCATCCCTGCCTGTTGTCTAAAAGGGGGTCCCCCAGGCCTCTCATCTCCTGTCCAGATCTCTTATGGCTTCCCTGATTCTCTCAAAAAAAAGGGGGGGGGAGAAAAGTTGTATTGGCAGGTGAGGAAGTCCAGAGAGGAAAAAACGTTGGGGGCAGCTCTTGGAGCCAGCTGATGGGCAGCCATGATTTCTCAGGCAGCCTCCTGTCTGGAAGGCCTGGAGCAAGGTAGGGGGCTGGAAGTTCAGAGTTTGGGGGGCAGCCAGCCAGGAATCCCCTCCTCCCAGATGGGAAGTTTCTCATGCTGGGGGCTTGAGTTGGAGTTCTAGGGAATTTTCTTTCCATGATGATCATTACTGAAAACTCAAGAACTCAGAAAACACCCAACGCCTCGGTCAACCGTTGCTCCTTAAACCCTGAGATTCCCAACCTCGTTGGTCTCACCCAAGCTGCTGCCAAGACCGGTTGCTCTATGACTTTGTAACAGACAGGAATGATCTGACTCATGGCCACTGACCAGACTCCCCCAGCAGCACACCAGAGTTCCCCTGAGTTCCCCTGCTACCTCTCTTGAAAACTGCCTGTTCTGGACCTACAAGACTCCGGCCCCTTCGCCATCTCCAACACACACACTCACACCAGCACCCCCTCAATTCCTACCCGCCCCCCACGGTAGCAAAAGGAATGGGAGAGGCCTCAGGAGAAGGGATCATCAGAGTAAAACAGAAACACCGTTCCTGTCCCCATATTTCACCCTCTGTGACTTATCAAAACTTTGAGGTTTCTCATTTCTCACTGACAGTCAGAGTGGGCTTTCTCTAGAGTAACCGAAAGACATTTACGTGTTGAAAGAAACCTCGAGCGCTTCACATCAAGATGAGTCAGTGGAGGATGGGCGGTGCGCTGGGCCCTGAAGAGACTGTGGTTGCGTGTAGAGTAGACGTGTGGACTCCAGCCCAGGGGTAATGCGGCGAGAAAGGGGAAGGAGAGGGCCACCATGCTGCTGCGCAAGGACCCATTCCCAGCAGGACTGCAAATGCTCGAGTGGGGGCTGGGGACACAGGCCAGTGACTGCCTGTCCCCAGACACAGAAGATGCAGCTAGGAAGGCAGCTTCAGGTAGACAGTGGAGAGCTGGACTGCCGGGCCAAGCACTGGGGGCTCCATCCTTAGGGCTGGGTAGAGCCCCTAACGATTTAGGAGGAAGGCACTGCAGGGGGCTGGGGGGTGGGGGTGGGAGGGATTGGCATCGGAGCTCTGCTTCTGGAAGACGTGTCTAGCAGCAGTGTGCAAGATAACTTGCTTGCGGTGGGAGAAAGAACTATTTATTTATTTGACCCGATGCCCTTCCTCCCTCCCCTACGAGCTCTCAAGCCCAGAGTCCCCGCCTGACCCGCTCACCCCCAGGAGCACGCTAAGAACGGCAAGCTGGGTGCCATGCAGCTAGGTTTCCAGCAGGTGGCGCTGTGGCCAAGGACACGGGACGGCTGGGCTCGCGCGGCTTCCCGGCCTCCAGAGGATGCCTGTGGCAGGGTCCTTTGGGTTTCCTGTCCCTATTGAGGCTGGAGCTGCGACGACAGGCCTGCAGATCCTGCCTTAGCGTTCACATGTGGCATCACAGTGACTCTGACTCTCCTGTGGGGCAGGCCCTGGCTGGGAGCTGAGGGTCGTTGTCGGGGAGGGGGCTGCAAAGGGAATGAAGGTGCAGCTCCTGCCCCGAGGGTGCTCCCAGACTGGCAGGGGACATTAGACTTCTACACAGATTGCTCTGTCAACTGCCCTCCCTGCTCAGCCCTCGGGAGGAAGCAAGCTCCGCTGGCCCAAGGCTCAGCTGCAAAGCCGAACTGAGTACATCCAGGCCTTGTGCTCACCTGGGTCTCTGCTGCTTGGCGCCAAGGGGAGGCTTCTGGCTTCCAGAACATGTCCCTTCCCAAAGCTGGCCCTGCTCCACTTCCACCATTCCCCTAAGGCCTCAGACTAGAAAACAAGTTAAAGGAGAGAAAATGTATGCACACATTTTAGTTAAGAAAAAAAAAAGTAGATGAACACTATGGGGAATAGCATCCATTCCACCACACTGCCCCAGGGTAATGTCCTCTCGGGCCGACTTGAGGATCCCTCCTCAAGGAGAAGGGAGAAGGACAAGCACTCATTTATTTGTTCACTTAGTCGGTTATCCTTCATTTATTCATCAGCACACAATTCCTGGGCCTGCACTGGGTAAGAGGGAAGAGGTCCCTGGCCCAGAGGCAGGCCCAGGGTGTGGGCACGGTGAACCAGCTGTCAGTGCTGTCGGTTCAGTGGGGGGTGTTGTGAAATCACCCCATTTCCTCAGCCTGCCTCCTTCGGGAGACACTCAGGGCTTCACGTGTGGCTGCCCACTCGCCTGGACACTGCTCCCTAGGCCGGTGGCTGCTGGCACCAAAGCAGTGCAGGACACATGAGCACACACACCTACCACTACCTTCCTCTTCCTCCACCACGGGTGGTGGGAGGGGCACTCCGACCCTGGAGTCAGCGTCAGCTGAAGCCCAGGCCTGGGGGGCTCTGAGCTCGGGAGGACCCTCCAACTCCAGAAGAAGCCCATATGGGGCAAGACGGGGGTAGGGCGCGGGAAGGGCTGCCCCACATTCTGCGGCTGCTTCTTTTGGGAACCTGAGAGTGGAGGAGGAAGAGAGGGAGGTGAGGACAGTGATGCCGGGCAGCGGGCCAGGTGTTCAAAGGCACAATCTGGTTCTGATGTTCTTTTTCAGCAAACGCAGTGCCTGGAGCTTGGGATGAAAGTTCCCGACGGCGTCTCCCCTCCACTGCTTTCTTTAATCACAACGAGTTGTCCCTGCCAAGCAATAACTTTCTCGCCTTGTCTCCTACAGGGAAACCAATGAAAACCGTGCTGGCAGTGGCTCTCCTTGTCGTTTTCCAGGTAAAGTTCCCTGCCTAGGACAGCTCTGATCCCTCCTCCACACCCCCTGCCCAAGCCAGAGGTCCTGCTGGAGGAGCTGAGCATTTGCTAGAAGAGAGAAGGCCCCGACACAAACCCACCTGCCATTCATTAAGCGGATGGCTGCCCCCTCTCTGTGTGTGGAGTGACCCTGGGGAGCCACAGATGTTCTCTGGACTTCCTTTACTCCATCTAAGTTCAAACGTGGGGGAAAATAACTCACCGTCACCTTCCCCACCCCACCTCCAATCTCCCCACCCAGGAGACAGAAACATGGACTCTGAGTTCTTTCAGAGAGAACAGCTGCAAAATGCAAAGGCCGTGAGGTTACCCGCTTTTGCTTGTGCGCGCACACCCCCATGTGTAAAACTCCACGTGTGGGCTGATAAAAGAGCCTTGAATACTATCCTATCATCCCAAAGTTTTCTTCCCCCAAACTCCAGCCAAAGGTTCCCCTCACAGCCACAATTTTCTTTTGTGAAATAGGGACCCATCTGCCTCCCTGGGGGTGGAGGGGAGGGAGGATGGGGCTCTGGGGACACGGAGAGGGTGGTATATGGCACAAATCTTTATAGCGGGCCTGAGCGCTGCAGGAACACAGACCCCCGTCTTACAAGGTCCCATGTCTCAACCCCAGAAATGGAGAAAGTTTGCCCCACCAAGTGCCAGGGTTAGAAGAAACTGCAGCTGATTTGTTAGAGGTGGGGGCTTCTGAGTGCGGGTAGGGGCCCAGCTGAGGCCAGAGCTGGAGGGACAACGCTGCAGAGTTTGGCTCATCCCCAGGTCTGCAGGCCAGAGGGGCAGCTTTCCAGGAGCTCAGGCCAGAGGCAGGCCCCAAGCTGGGCACTGTTCCCAAAACCCCATCCCAGAGGCCCCCGGATCATGGGCTGCTGCCCACAGCCTGGCCCCTTCCCCATCACCACTCTCCCCTCCCTCTAGGACTCTGAGTGGCTACATTGCTGGCAGCAGAAGCTGGAGAGCTGGGGAGAAGAGGGGACGGCTTTGGCTTGTTCTCCCTCACTTGGGAAGGGGGCTCAGGCAGGGCAGGATGTGGTGGGGCTGTGGGCTGCAGAGGAGGCAAGGCTGGAGGGGGGAGCAGGAGCAAAGTAGAGAGGACTGAGTGGTGGGGAGCACACTTCCTAGAGGCTGGGAGCACCGCCCTCCAGGAAGCCCAGGCCCCCTCATGTCCACAGACCTTGGACTAAGGCCTGGGCCTCACCATGGGTGCACTGAGGGCAGCCAGCTTTTTCAAGGGCTCCCAGGCTGCAGCCAGGCCCGGATGAGGACAGAGGGGCTGCCACTGACTTTTCTTCTCAGACTAGCAATGCCCAGAGAAAAGGCTCCTGGACTTCATTTTGTCCTCACCCTGTCCCCAGGCAGGGCAATGATGAATCCAGAACTTAGAAGTGAGAAAGACTGAGACAAGATGTGAGGAGTCCCTCTAGCCCTAATTTATGGAAACCCATTATCTTCGAGCTGCTAAGAGTCCAGTTCCTGGAGGAAGGCCCATGAGCGTCAGAGGCGGGCTGCCAGCCCAGCTACCTGCCCGGCAGGAGCCCACGCAAGGCTGTGCCCCCTCCTTCATTGATAAAATCACAGCAAGCTGCTGAACCTTCACCCGGCCCTGCAAACAGGCTAAAAAAAGCCCCGGCAGCTGAGCCCTGCTGATTGGGATCTGCCGGAAGAGGCTGCGGGGAAGAGAGAGGCAGTGACGTGGGGGAGCGGAGGGGGAGCGTGGAAGACAGAGCCGCCTTTCTTCCAGGGACACAGCTGCTGAGGGGCCGCTCGAGCACTTGGGCTCGGTTGCCCGAGCTCCTGCCGGGGGCCAGGAGAGCACCAGGGACCTGTAATGTCTCCAGGTCACTTGCCACCATGACCTCAGCAGCTCTGCCCAAGCCCAGGGAATCGCGGCCTCCTAACGGGAGCGTTTGCCATCCTCTCTTCCCACTCTGGGCCCCCTCAGCCTTGCCCCCAGGTGATTTTCTGTCAGAAGCTGAGGTATTTTGTAAGCACCCTGGAAAACTTCCCATGAGCTTCTAAAGGAAGCTCAAGATGGAAGACACGCGTCCTCACGGAGCTTCCAGAGGGCAAAGTAAAAGCTCAGGACAGGCATTTAACAAGATTAGCCAGGTAACTCACATGGAAGTTAAGATTTGAGAGTCACTGATTTTAATGCAAAGAATCACCTGGAGAATTTAGGAGAATACAGATTCCTGGGCCCTGCCCTCCCCCGCACCCCCCCCACTCGGTTTTGGCGGGTCTCTGGCAAGTTCTCAGGGGATGACAGAGTCTCAAGCACACTTTGAAACCGCCACTCTAGGCTCAGTCCCGGCCAGATTTGGACCCACCTGGCTAAGCTAGGTTGTTTTCCCTTGTTTCCTTCCCCGCAGGTGTGCCTGTGCCAAGATGAGGTCACGGATGATTACATCGGAGATAACACCACAGTGGACTACACCTTGTACGAGTCTTTGTGCTTCAAGAAGGATGTGCGGAACTTTAAGGCCTGGTTCCTCCCAGTCATGTATTCAGTCATTTGCTTCGTGGGCTTGCTGGGCAATGGGCTGGTCGTGTTGACCTACATCTATTTCAAGAGGCTAAAGACCATGACTGACACCTACCTGCTCAACCTGGCCGTGGCAGACATCCTCTTCCTCTTGACCCTTCCCTTCTGGGCCTACAGTGCGGCCAAGTCCTGGGTCTTTGGTGTCTACTTTTGCAAACTCATCTTTGGCATCTACAAGATGAGCTTCTTCAGCGGCATGCTGCTGCTCCTGTGCATCAGCATCGACCGCTACGTGGCCATCGTCCAGGCGGTCTCGGCTCACCGCCACCGCGCCCGCGTCCTCCTCATCAGCAAGCTGTCCTGCGTGGGCATCTGGATGCTGGCCATGCTGCTGTCCACCCCTGAGCTGCTGTACAGCGGCATCCAGAGGAGCAACAGCGAGCAGACGTTGCGATGCTCTCTCATCAGCGAGCACGTGGAGGCCTTTATCACCATCCAGGTGGCCCAGATGGTCATAGGCTTTCTGGTCCCCCTGCTGGCCATGAGCTTCTGCTACCTTGTCATCATCCTCACCCTGCTCCAGGCGCGCAACTTTGAGCGCAACAAGGCCATCAAGGTGATCATCGCCGTGGTCGTGGTCTTCATAGTCTTCCAGCTGCCCTACAATGGCGTGGTCCTGGCCCAGACGGTGGCCAGCTTCAACATCACCAGCAGCAACTGTGAGGTCAGCAAGCAGCTGGACATCGCCTACGACGTCACCTACAGCTTGGCCTGTGTCCGCTGCTGCGTCAACCCTTTCCTCTACGCCTTCATCGGCGTCAAGTTCCGCAACGACCTCTTCAAGCTGTTCAAGGACTTGGGCTGCCTCAGCCAGGAGCGGCTCCGGCAGTGGTCTTCCTGCCGGCACAGCCGGCGTTCCTCCATGAGTGGGGAGGCCGAGACCACCACCACCTTCTCCCCATAGGCAGCGCTCCTGTCTGGACTAGAGGGACCTCTCCCAGAGCCCCTGGGGTGGGAACAGAGAGCAGATGCAATGACTCAGGACCCCCTCCAAGAAAAAGCTACTGGGGGAAAAGCAGCTCTGACCTCAGAGTGGAAACCTGTGCCCCAGAAGACAGCTGAACCCCAACCCTAGCTACCTCAACTAAGGGCGAAAAGAAACATGGCTGATAAGCTAACACCAGAACCTGCAACACCCCAAAACCGAGGCTGTGGTCCCCGAAACCAAAAACCAAAAGTGAAAGTCAAGAAACCATTCACACCTGCTGGAGTGAAGGGGACGAGACGGGTGAGTGCTCGGTTAGGAAGAGGCCTGGCGAGTCCTCCGAATGGAGTTTCTTCCAACCTAGAAAGAAGTGACCCCAGAGACTCACGAGCTCAGGCCGGGTCTTCAGAAAACCAGGCTTGGTCTCCCAGACCAGAGATGGTGGGGAGACGTCTTGGCTTGGTGAGGAAAGGGGGACATCTGCCCGTCAGACTGACTCTATCTGACCCCCTCCCTCTGTCTCTGTCCGCTGTCCCACCTCAGGCCTCCCTGGGAGCACACTGGGCCCTCGCAGGCCGGTCGCCCTCCCAGGCTCTTGACAGGGCAGGGTGTGGTGTTTCCTGCGGGCCGGGCGGCTGCCTCAGCCTGACCAAAGCCACGTTCCCAGCCAGGCCTCTGGAGTGGAGATGACATGCAGTCGGCTCTCAGCTCCGCTAGGATGGGAGGAGGGGAGAGGGAGAAAGGTTGGGGACAGGGAGGGTGAAAATGCTGGCTGCCCACGGCCAACGAGCTTCTTCTTCCTTCTTTGTCACAGGGACAGAAAAATTCTCCTTGTGTTATGCTTTCAACTCATTAAGAGACCAACATTTTACTCACACACAAATAAAAATTTTCCCTTGAGGAAAAAACAGCTTTGAAAGAAAGGGAAAAAAAATCTTTGGTAAATGGCCAATGAGCGTGTTCTTATTTTGTAATCCCCTACACCCCACCTGACCTCGCCCCCTCCCCTGCTCCCTGCCCTCCCCCAGGCTTTGTTTCTCAGAGATGTTCAGAACCATGAGGCCACTTAGCTGTGCTCTGAGCCCGTCCACTGGCCCAAGAGGCTGAAGGAGGGCAAGGACAAGGAAGTCCATTTTGCAAATACCCTTCCAGATGTCGTGGGATGGACCTCAAACCTGTGTGGTCACCGGTGAACTGGAGACGCTGATCTGAGCACAGCTTAGGGAAGACCACGTTGTCCTGGTATCCTCTATGCCTGGGAACTCTCTCAACCCTTAGCAGCATTTGCACACTGACCTGCTCACCTGTCCCCAAACTGGTGTTTGGAGGGAGGGCCTTTCCCTGGGCTCGGAGACCACAGCATGCTGGATTAGGGGGTCTAGCATGGAAGCCATGAGATGGGCTGGATGGGGCCCTTTGCTGGCTGCCCAAAAGCTGGGACCATCCATGACACTCTCCACTGGGCACTGTAGCAGCAATGCCCCTCCGTGGTGTATAGCATAGTCCATTCCTGCTGTTAAAACAAAATACTGGGTAATTAGTACACAATAGAAATTTATTTCTCATAGTCCTGGAGGCTGAGAAGTCCAAAATCAAGGCACTGGCAGACTCAGTGTCTGGGGAGGGCGGACTCTGTACTTCCAAGAGAGGGCCTTATTGCTGTGTCCTTCGGAGGGGACAAACGCTGTGTCCTTACATGGTGGCAGGGAGGAAGGCAAGAGAGCCCAGCTAGTTCCTCCCAGCCCTTTTATAAAGGCACTATTCCCATTCACAGGGGTGAAGCCCTCATGACCTAATCCCCTTCCAAAGGCCCCGCCTTCTAATACCATTATCTTGGGGTTTACCTTCCGATCTGTGGATCTGGGAAAGACACCTGCATTCAAACCACAGCAGTGTGGATATCCGCTGTGGAGGAGCAGGGAAGAGAGGAACAGACACTGCCCCACACACTGGCCAGCCTTCCCTGGCGCTGCGTGCCCTGGTGCCCACCCAGAGCCCTGACTTCTCTGAGCCAGAGAGACGGCCGGCCCAGCCGGCGATGCGTGAGGCAGCGTCTGAAGCTGCAAGAGCGCTGGCCGGGGGCGATGGGGGGTGGCGTGCATACGAGGGGGGCTGGGGCACTCACGCAGAAGGTGACTCCATCCATTTCCCCCAGTGAAATGAGCCCCTTTGAAAATGGAGGTGCCTGGTGATGATGCCAATTCTGTAATCTCATAAGCACATGCCATTACCCTCTGCGGGACGCACTGGGCTGGAAGGTTTTTAACAAGATGTGTCAGCTGGCCTCCAAGCTGGGAATCGGTGCCCTGAGAGGAATGAGCCTGGCACGGACGCAGTCAGCGTGCAGCGGCATTCCCGGTGGTGGCATTAAACATTAAAAGGTGCAGCTGTGACTGTGTGTGCTGGAGCGTGTGGCCAGGGGCGATGCCAGTGTGCTCGGTGTCCCCGAGGGGAACCTGCACAGCACGTGTGCGTGTGGAGCCCGCTGGTGTGTGCACCCTAATGAGGTTACAGATGGGAAAACAACCCCCAGTTCCTCAAGGGGAAGAATGCAGCAGAGCAGTCATGGAAAAGGAAGCCAGGCGGCCGCACAAACACGCTACCCCGGCTTCAAATACATTTTTCTAGAATAACTGGACGTCTCCAAATATTTACAGAGAAAACAAAACCCCCAGCAATGTTAATTCCCCAAACTGCTGTGTCTCAGAAGTTCTGGCCTCGGCTCAGCGCTGGCCTGACCCCTGCTCCCTTGCCCAACGCTCTCCCGCGCCTGCCCTGAGCTTGGGGTGACCCCTGGAAAGAAGGGAAGGGCCCTCTGGGAGGCCCGCCCAGGGCTGCTCTCTCCCCCTTTCTCATCTGCTTCATACACGTGCCCCATCCTCCCGGGATCACGGCCCCCACGGCCCTCCCCCAGTCTCCCCAGTGTCCCCTTCATTCCATCACCAGCACCTTGTCCCCCTCACCCTGGCTGCAGTCCCAGGCCAGGCCCCAGGCATTCCCCGGCCACAGATCTGCCCTTTCGGCCAGCAGCACCACACCTCTCGCATCACAGACCCGCAGAGCTCCCAGGGGCCTCAAAGATCAGCTGGGCCAACCCCTGATCATTCTCTAGGTGGTGAAGCTGAGCTCCCGAGGGAGGAGCTGACTTGCCCAAAGAGACATCGAAATGCAAGGATATTGGTTGGACCTGTTTGGGAGCCTGAGGGTCTGGCAGGGCTGGGGGAGGGGCTGGGGGAGAGCAGAGGGGAGCCCTGCCAACTTTGAATCACATCTCTACTGCTTCCCGGCTGTGCGACCTTCAGCTGTTGCTCAACTGCTCTGGTCTCAGATGTCTCAACTGCCATATGGAGAGGATTTGGGTAAACACTTAGCACAGTGCCTGGAATGCTAAGTGTGGTGGCGAGTAGCAGGGACTTTGCAGCCAGAATGCCCGGTTTGAATCCCAGCCCCACTACTTGGGCTGGTTACTTAGCCTCCCGTGGCCTCGGTTTCCTAATCTGTATAAGGAGGATATTAATAGTACCTATCTCCTAGGGCTGTTGCGAGGAGGAAATTCATCCATATATGCAAAATGCTTAGAAATGCTTACATAAGTGTTGTTGGTAATTATTTAGGAGATGTTTAAGAAATGGTAGCTAAAAACAAGTTGCTCACTACAAGAAAACCAAATTCAATTCCTTAGCCCCATTTCCATCCCCACAGAATTTACAAATCAAGACGAAGGACAGTTTAGAGATCTGTTAGCCCAGCCTTCCCACCAATCATACTCATGAGTCAACTGAGGCTCAGAGAGGGAAATAACCCACCCAGGTCTCTCAGGAGCTCCTGGCAATGCTGGAACTTGAACCTGGGCAGTTCCCGGGCTCTTCCCACCGCACCTTGCTGCCTCCACGTGAACGCCCCTGCAAGTCCACCCTGGCGTCTGCCACCCTCACCCGACTGTCTGGCTCTTCCCTGGCAGGCACTGTCTTTCTTGCCCCATGACCAAGTCCTTAAGGAGAGCGTCCCTTCTCCCCTTTACATAGTTCCTGTCCTCCCCACGGAGCCTGAACGAATGAATGAAATACAAAAAAATAGGGCATCGGCCCAAAGGAAATCAGGCAACTGATCTTTTTTAAGAAAGGAAGACAGGCCATCTTCTCTGGGAGTTAGGTTCTCAGTTGCATTTCCGTGATGAGGGTGAACAGTCGAAGGAGAAGAAACAGACCTGTGGGGTGGGGGACATGGGGGATTAAGGCAAAGGAGATGGGAGGGAAGGGGAACAACTCTGAGTGGGGAGGAGGCAGGCGGAAGGTGCGACACATGCAGATGGCCACACTTGGAGCATCTTCCATGGGTAGATAGATGTCCCCTCTTTCTCACGCGTGAGCACACACACACACACACACACACACACGCATGTGCACAGCTTTCCCAGGCCTCCCGATCCCAGGAGAGGAGAAAGGGGCTATATTAGTCTTAGAGACAGGTGGGCCCATGGCCTTCTTTGCAGAAAGGAGGGTTAGAAATGCCACATTTCCCTGGTCTGAGCCCGAGAAAAAAACCCATGGCAACAAAATGGGGGCTCTCCCTCAACTCCAGAGAGCAAACCTGCCAGGCTTCAGCAAAACCAGCCCTCCCACCCGCCCCGGCCTCTCAGGAGCAGATGTCTGACCAGCCCCAGCTCCTCCGGAAGCTAATGCCACCGTCCCGGCACTCATCCTGGGCCCAGGCAGAGACACAGGCAGGGTTCCATCTGCAGAGAAGCCTCCCTCCCAGCCAGAGCTGCTCCAGACCGAGTGGATCTTCCCTGGCCCCATGTAAAATCAGAAACTGGACGGCTCGAGTTCCCCCCAGGCTCCTTCCTTTGTGTTTGTGCGTGACCCAATTCAGACCCCTCGCTGTTGTCAGATTCTCCCCCTCCTGCCTTCAATTTGAGGATGGATGCAACCTTATTCTCGTCTATTGTTCACTAACCCCAGGGAGTTCACTGGCTGGGCTGTTCTATGTGTCACACTAACCACCACACGGTTTGGCCTCCAGGTCCTCGAGTCCGAGGAAATAAACAGGATGGGGTCAGGAGTGGCTGGGTTCTGCCTGGCTCGGTTCCCCCACGGTGCAATAACTCCTGAGGTCGGACATGCGTGCCCACTAGCAAAAGGGCAGTTCTCGACCCCGAAGTCCTCTTGCGCCTGTGTCAGAGCTTGTTTAGGACAGAACAGTTTATATTTGTTCTAAATAAATATCTGACATTGTGAAGCACAACAGATGCTGTAGATGAAACCCTTTCCCGATGTTTCAAAAGGCCTGGAAAGGCAAGCACATTTATCTTGTATGATTTATGTAGCTGCCCTCAAGTGAATGAAGCAAGAACATGATCACATGCAAACACTGAGTGGTGCACTCTCCTTCCCAGGCCAAGAGGATGGCCTGGCCCAGGGCTGTGGTCAGGCCGGATGCTACAGTGTCACCTATGTGGGAACCAGGTCTGCCTCCTGCCCGAAGGCTCAGGCAACCTCTCCCAAAGCGGACACTCTGGACACACCAACCTGCTTGCACTAGTTCCTCTTATCTGCCACCTGCCCTTTTCCACTCACCCCCATTTCAGGGAAGCTCAGCTGCTGGGGTGCTGTTGGCTGCCTCTGGACTTGGAAATCGGGAGAAGGGAGTGGAGAGAACGATGGCAGCTTTGTGTCCAGGCTGTTCAGGGAGACACTCCTCTGCCTTTGTCCCCCAGGGCAAGACGTAGGTCTACATCCACCAGAATCCTTAAATCCTTTGTCAAAAGCAGACCTGGGATTTTTGTCCAAGAATCACACCTGCTGTGCCCCCAGCCTCCTTCTCAGGCACCCCACTGCCACCCATACCCCTTGTCCCCCAGAGCCAAACTCTGAGAAGTCTGTGGCCTGAAAGAGCCTGTGAGCGTTTGTCACTGGGAATGTCAGACAGAGGCTGGGAGACTGGAGGTGCAGGCGGTGCGGTGTCATGGACTGCAGGAATCGCAGAGGCTCAGCGAGTAGAGACCCTGAGGAGGTGGAGGGGGGTGAACCTAGGAGGGGAGATGGACTAACATCCACCAAGCACCTGGGATGTGCCAAGGCCTGTGCTAGGTACACCACCTTCCAGTGAATTCTATGACAATAGGTAAGGAAACTGAGGTTTAGAGAGCTCGTGCAGCTTACCTGTGGTAACACAGCTAGCAATGTCATTAAGATTTTATCGCATACCATATACTGTACTCTTAGTATCTTAGTATCAGTATCTTGTCACATTTAATCCTCACAACAACCCTACTAGAGTCCCATTTTACAAATGAGGAAATTAAGGCTCAGAGAGGTTAAATAACTTTGCCAAAGTCACACAGCTACTAAGTGATTCCAACCTGTTCTACCTGGCCTCCAAAGTTCTTGCTTTTGCCACCCTGCCACACTCTTCAACGAAATAATAGTTTATTCATTACCAAATATGTATGGAGCCCTACTCAGCACCAGGCACTATGCTAGGCACAGCCTACAGCTCTCAAACCTGCTGCATGCAGAGCTCTGACCCGGGAGGAAGGAGAATCAAATAACAGAGACACAGCCCCCACCTGCCAGGGGGAGGTGACCCCACAGCTGGGCAACAGCCAGGTGCCCAGAGTTTGGTCTCCCCTTCTCTGCCCTGGCCCCTGCCCCCATCCCAGGCCTCCTCCACATGCCGGCCCTGCAGGGCTGGACGCCGCCTGGCAGGCAGGTGTCTGGGCTTTGCCACCTCCCCTCGCTGGGCCTCCATCTCCTCAGCTGCATAAGATGAGGTTTCTGGGCCCGATAGTTTCCACCTGTCCTCTCCAGTTCTGATGTGTGACAGGCGCCTTATCTGGGTGGGGTCTGGGAGCCCAGCGCTCAGCCGGGCAGGGCCCTGGGCAGGCTGATGCCTGGCAGGGGTGCAAAGCAGGTGGGGGAGGGGCTGAGGAAGCTGCTCCACCCCCAGCTGTGGTTTCTGGTGGGGCCACCGTGGCAGCAGGTGGAGGGAAGTGTTTGTCACCCTTCCAACAAAGGCAGTCAAACAAAAGCCTCCCAGGGTACTATGGGAACAGGCATCAAGGGCGCCAAAAATAAAACACACCTACCCTTTGATAGGCATCCGCAGCTGCTGAGGAAAGGGTTCCGAGTCCATGCCCACGCACACCCACACTCGCACCCGCGTGAGCAATCCAGCCTCACAAACAGCGCCCACGAGATGCTCAACAGTCACACGAGAAACATCACCGTGCGCACACGCACACATTCTAGTTACACAACCGGTACACACATACACATTTACAAGTAGAACCCTTGCCCACACACAGGACCGGCTTTGTGTGCTGTAGCCTATGCAGCCGCCCTGGGGCCCATGCTAAGAAGGATCTGTGCTTGGTTTAATGCTTTGCTGTCTGCCTTTTGAAATCCTTTATTTTTTTTTGGTGTGGGGGGCCTCCCCTCCTGGGCCACAGGTTGGGGTAACATCACCTGGCTGGTCATACCCACCTGCAGGCAGGGGAGGGGTCTGAAAGTCTTAATTCTTTTTCATCAAGGGGCCCACCCTTTTCATTTTGCACTGGGCCCTGCAAATATATAACTAGTCCTGCTGGTATACCATTCGTAAGTACATTGAGATATGCCTAAGAAGCAGACAAACATTTATAGACAGGAGTGCATGCACTGTGTACGCACTACATGCATACACACAAGCACAAACACATACACCCCCCCCCACGCAGCACCCACACATACAGCCACAGTCCCCTCATGTGCATGCACTGTAGCACATGCGTCACTACCCAGAAAGGGCATGGACACTCCCAAGTAACACCCGGAGGGCAGTGCACCTGCAGCTGATGCAATTAAGTTGCCTCTACACTGGGGGCAGCAGAACGACACACTGGGAAGGGGCTTGGAGAGAAAACAGATTCATTTCCTCCCCCTGAACATCCCCAGCAGCCACAGCTGGCTTCTCTCAGCAGCCTTGGGCGCCCCCAACCACTCGGCAGCTGGGACGGGAAGAAAGTGGAGCTTGGGAAGTGAGGAAGGGATGGGAAGGGGACAGGGCATGGGGTGCAGAGATAGAGACAGTAAGAAGAGAACCGGCAGGATCTGAGGCTCAGGCGAGCTAGCCTGAGCAGTGGTCCCATAAGAGCTCAGAAGGTCTTGGACCTAGAGAAGTAAGAACAATGTCCCTGTCCTTCCCCTTGCCCTCAGAGAGGCGGTCAAAAGAGTCAGGAGATCCCCACCTCTGCTTCTTGCTAGTCACATGGCCTTGGGCACGCCCTGAACTTTCCTAGCCTCAGCTTCCTCCTCTGTTTAATGGGATAACAATATATAATTCAGAGTTGTGAGATTTGCACAGTCACTGTGCCTCCTGGATTCTTCCAGTGTTCACCAGCTGTGTCCTTGGCAGGCCCAGCAATCTGGTTCTTATTTCAGATGCTCCAGAGCCCCTCCGTAACCTCAGGCGTTCAGGACGTGTTTGCTTCTCATCTTCTCCTCCCCGCACCGTGGTGGATGTAGCTCACGGCCACCATCCCTTCAGGGGCCTTCCATGTCCCACAGCCCCTTTTGATCCCCCCACCCCACACCCAAACCAAGCAGGACCTCAAGGCCTGGAAGTTTCCTTCCTTTTCTATTCTCCATCCCCAGCCCTGACCTTCCCTATTTAAAATTGTTCCAGGTTCCATCTAGTGATACCAGATGCTTGAGGAGTGATTCATAAAAACCAATCGGCCCCCAAGATGGGTGCCATCATGCTCCATTCTAATTACAATCACCCACGGAGAAGAGAAGAAAGGCCACCTGAGTGGCCACCGACAAGAAACTCAATTTCATTAGAATTCTAGGCCTGGCCCAGTGACTCATACCTGTAATCTCAGCACCTTGGGAGGCCAAGGCAGGAGGATCCCTTGAGGCCAGGAATTTCAAGATCAGCTCTAGGCAACAAAACGAGACCCCATCTCTACAACAAAATTTAAAAATTAGCCAGGCATTATGGTGCATACCTGCAGTCCTCAGGAGGCTGAGGCAGGAGGATCACTTGAGCCCAGGAGTTCAAGGTTGTAGTGAACTGTGATGACACCACTGTAGTCTAGCACAGGTGACAGATTGAGACCCTGTTTCTAAATAAAAAAGAATTTTAACAAGGTTATAGGCCACTCAGACCCCTGTACATGTTCCCTTTCATCTTACTGAGAGAGAAACTGAGGCATGGAACAGTGAAATGACTTATGCAAGCAGCAGAGTTGGGGCCTATGGTCTTTCTGATATGCAGCCCCTGTGAGACCAGCTGCAGAGCAATCCACACCCGGCCGGCCCCATCAGCCCCAGCTCACCAGCACACAGCTGGTTCCCATTCCCCAGTCGTGGGAAGCAGCCAGGCTGGTTGGAGGTCTGCCAGGATGGATCTTCTGGTCACCAGGTGGCCCTTGCAAGGGGTCTGGCATCTGATTCCCATCTTGGCTTCACCATTTATCAACTGTGTGGCCTTGACAAGTGCTTCTTCTTCTCAGCCTCAGTTTCCCTATTTGTTTTCAAATAGGTGTGATGTAACAATTTTCCTAGAGAGTTACATCAAATGGGATAGTGGATGTGGAGCTTTGGAGAGTATACAGTGACAGGAAGGGTAATGGTAGACATCCTCCCATAACAATGACTGGAGTAATGCCCTCTCCTGTGGGCACCTCGGCGGACAGGTTAGAGGTCATCATCTTTCCCCGAGAGATGAGGAATTAGCCTCCTGAGACACATGAGGACAGAAGTCACCTGTTTTGGTTGCAGAATGAGGGGACCAGTGTGCCCCTGTCTGACCACAGCTCCTTCTAGGAAGAGAGGCGTTAGGCACCGAACTTAGCAGAACAACTCCTGATCAGCTGACCTAGCCCAGTGCCTGACACATCACAGACCAAAAAACGTTTGTGGACTAAATGCATGAATGGTGAATGCGGGGTCTTCCCACACCCTTGACTCATAAGTTAAAATCTGCCCAAAAGCCCCTGCACTGCAGAGACATGCCCAGCAGACGGGCCCCTCCGTGGGAAGAGCTGTTTGTCATGGCTAAAGGTAAGGGCCCCCTTTCAGACACTGTCCTGGAAGAGTCCCAGTCAACAGACCCTGCCCTCTAGTGCCCACCCCATCCCCCAGGCACAGGGTCCCAGGCTCTGACGCAAGCATCTCTGCAAATAGATGCCGTTTCCATGGGAACTGAAACCCCAGTTTGTTTTTCCCTCCAAGGCACTCTGTAATTTCCAGCACAGCCTGTGCAACGTCAGCCTCGTAACCTCCAGGCCAGCTGCTCCCCCAGGTCAGCATCCAGCACGGGGCCCTGGGCTGACCTGGAGAGGTCATACCGAGCCTGTCCTCCCAGAGGGCTCCCGGGGGCTATGGGTACCAGCCCCCTACTCCCGTGTGCAGAGGGGTGCCCAGCAGGCAGGCAGAGACAGAGATGAGTCCCTGAACCTCCCTAAGGGAGGCCTGGGGTGGGAGGGCCATGGGGGGACGGGGGCTCATTTCCAGTAAGAAGTGGGAGGGAAGGAAAAGGTCTCAGTCTGGCAGCCTGGGCTCCAGGGAGGGCGGCGGTGGGTAACAGATGATTTCTGGCTGAAGGGGCAGGCTGTGCTCTCAGCAGTTGGATCGTTAGCCGCTATTGTCTGAGCCTCTGTGAGGAAACCACCATGGATTGGAAAGCAGAGCCAAGGACTTGGGGAGATGGGGGTGGAGGGTGGCAAGATTGGTCAAGGCACTGGTGAGCTTTAAGGACAGGGTGGGAAGGGGATGGAGGGGCTGCCTGAGCCAGGGGCTTGCTGCTCCCTGTCCCCCACACAAGGCAAGCTTAGGGTCTGGGGTGGCAGGGCCTTTCCTGGTCCAGCCTGGAGATGACCAAGGCCCTGGCTGGTGCCCTGACTGCAGTCTGTGAGAGACCAAGAGCCAGAGGACCCAGTGAAGCTACTCGGACGCCTGGCCCGGATGACAGGCAGAGTGTCCTCTCCAGCCCCTCAGGGAGTGTGGCCCAGGTACCCTCAGGGACCCCAGGAGGGGAATGTGGATGCCTTGGAACTAGCTCCTTGACCACTCTCTCTCTGAGCACCCTGCCAGAAAGCAGGGCAGTGACGATAACACCTGCTCTCCCCTGAAGGGCGTGTGGGCGAGGTGAGGACTCCAGTGTGACAGTGCTTGGCAGCCAGAGCCCTTGTTATTATTACCACATGCAGGGATAGTTCCCCCAAAGCACCACACTCCGTCCGCAGCGGCCTGAGCCACAAGCAGGCCGACTGCCCTTCTTCAGCCGCAGTCTGGGATTACACAACAGCAGCCACCAGGGGAGGCTTCACGCCCAGGCAGATGCCGAGGCCCCAAGGAAAGGGAGAGGAACGTTTTGGGGGCATAGCACATCCTCTGGCTGGGCAGCATCCTCTCCCCAGATTGGTGGCCATCTCCCCAGCTTTCGGGGGGACACCACTGTGGCCTGGTGGCCCCAGCCCCCAGCCCCCGTACTTCAACCCGGTACTTGTTCAAAGCCTTGACAACTCAGCCCACCTCCCCGCTGCACCTTGCGGTTTACAACAACAGTCAAACCACTGACCTGATTTTCTGCAGAGAGGAAAAGATAGTAGGACGCCTTGGTGCACACGCGCGTGCGCACACACACAGACACACACGTGCACACACGCACGATGGAAACTTTCTCTGTTTCCTTGACGGAACCCAGCCCTGAGAGGGAGCTTCCTTGGGTGCAAAGCTCAGTGTTTACCTGCGCGAGGTCAGAGGCCTGCGTTCCCCGAGCCCTCGCCGGCTTCAGACGCCTCCTCTGCCAGGGACAGTGCCTCGAGCGTGTCCAAGTCTCTGGAGGTGTCTGCTTTCCCCCTGGGCTCCTGGCACTGCACTGCACTGCACTGAGAAAGGGATTAATTAATAAGACCCTCGGCCCCCAAAAGGGCCCGAGAGGTCCTGGGTGGGAACGTTCCCCTAATGAGTCAATGACTCCCATCCCCACACTTTCTCCTAACCCAGGCTCCCACGGGTCTCAAAAGCTTCTCAGGGCCAGATTCTGCCACTTACAAGTGGTGAGGTCTCAGCACAGTAAGTTCTTGGTGGTTCTTATTTTCAATCACCATCAAAATGTAACTGCCTTCCTCTGCCAGCCTGGGACAGCACCCCATGGAGCAACCCAGTGGGTGAGCTCAGCGCCCCTGGCCACCCATCCAACACGTGGTCCTAGAAATGCACAGCATCAGAGCTGGAAGGGACACCAGAGGTCACAGCAAGGAAAGTGTTTTGTTCAGAGCCCTCAGCCTCCCACTCCCAGCTATCCACACTGGCCGCTCACAGTGTAGTCCTGAATTAGCAGCTTCAGCATCACCTGAGGGCTTGTAAAAAAGGCAGAGCCTCAGGCCCCAGACCTGCAGAGTCAGAATCTGCATCTTAACAAGATGCTCCATTGATTCCTAGCCCTGGCAGGTTGACGGTCCCTGCTCCCTCGCACTGGGCTCAGCCTGGGCCCAGGCCTCCTAAGAGCTGTGTTCTGCTCAGGGAGCCAGGAGAGGCTGCAGGCAGCCCACCATGGCCACCACTGCCTTTCCCTCCAGCCAAGAGTCAGATGAAGTTGGTACAGTCCTAACCTTAGGTCCTAGCTGCCTGCAATGAAGACACAGGGTGCAACAGCCCCCTCCTGTGCGTGGGAGCTCCAGGCTCTCCCCTGCCACCTCCTCTCCACCTTCCAGACTTTGCCTTTCTTGAACCAAGGGGCAATGTTGCCCAGTGGGCCAAATGCAAGATCTCATCTTGTCTTCCCTAAACTTGTAAGGCCACCTGCTCTCCAGGAGCTGATAGTGGTCGCCAAGATGATCCTGTACTCAAGTGATGCCTGCCCCTGCCACTCAGCCAGTGTCCCCAGGTCAGCCCTGTTCCTGACCCCTGGGTCGGCTCCCCAGCCCCAAACTAAAGCCAAAACTTGGGCCTCCACTCCCTGCCTGCAGTCAGCACTCCAGCTGAGCCGCAGTGGCTTCAGGGAGGTCAGTTGTGCAGCTAAGAAGGCAGTTTGTGGAAACTGAAAGTCCTTAACAGCTATCAACACCCCAAGGGTATGAATATCATTGATTCATTTATTGCAATTAATATTTGAGTGTGAATTAACCACTTGCTCTTTCTCAATGGGCTGGCAGAGAGTGGGCTGGGACATGAGACTTTAGGTTTTGATAGGAAACTCTGGTCCTCAGGGAGTTTCCACCTCTCCCTCCCTGCTCCAGAAAGCCACCCCTGCTTGTCTCAGCTCCATGTGGGCCCCAGGCAAAGACATGGGGAGAGGGGGTTAGATCACCAATTTCCTTTTAGAAATAATCAGGCCTCAAATAAATCTCACTGGCCATTGGGTACTGCCATTGCATAAAGCTTGAGATCACCGATTTCTTGTTGTTTCCCAGCCTCTTGGCCTGTGATTCTGAGGGGTTCTATGAGGAAGGGGGCCACCTCCACCTACTCATGGCTCTCCCATCTCAGAGCTCTGCCCTCAACATAGCCATCATATTCCCCAGCATGGATGGAATGAAAGAGGCAAGAGGGAAGGAAACTGATATTTCAGGGTCTCCTAATATGTGTTGGTCACTATACTAACTCTGTAACCACTAACTCATTCAGTTCTCACAACAACACTGTGAGTTGGTACTGTTTTTATTCCCATTTTACAGTCAAGGAAACTGCGTCTGGAAGAGGTTATTAATATGTGGAAGGTCACCGAATTAATAAGAGGCAGACCCAGGATTAGAACCAAGATCTGTCCAATTCTCCCACTAGCTGCCATGTCTGGAGAAGTGAGGCCATGAGTCATATTCCCCTATTCTAAGAGTCGCCAAAGGAGGTGGGCAGCTCAGACACATCCCTCCTCATGGACTTTGGGGAAAAAACAGGCAAAATTAGCTCTGTCCTGCAGACTCTTCCTCTCTTTCTCCTCCTCCTACTAGTGACCTAGATTCC